CCCCTAAGCGACCTTTAGAAGATGTTGTTGAGTCTAAAGTTAGTGTCAATGAGGAACCAAAAACAAAGAGAAATAAGCAGCCTACTCCAGTTGAGAGCAAAAATGTCAGCATCAAAACGGAGAATAGTAATGCAAGTAGCAGCACTAGTACACATACTAATACCACAAGCACAAAGTCATCATCAGCGAACAAAGACGTCAAAACCCTTCAACAAAAGCTAGACAGTAAGAGACAAATTGCCACTACCCTAAAGCATAAGGCTGATGACCTTAAGAAAGACCATCAAATTTCTGAAGCAATCTCAACTTATTTGGCTTCGGGTATGAAGTATAGCGAGGCTGCCATGTATTCCAAACAAATTTTTGAAAATACTCCCAAAGAAAAGAATCCTTCAACAAGCGGAACAGCTATACTGCTCAAACAAAATATTGACTTTTTGAAATATGTTTCCTCGCTAGCACTAAAGTATGCGTATTATGACAAGGCAGTGCTAGCCAACATTCTCATATTTACAAATACCAAGGCTCTCTTTAATTTCAAGACACAATCAATTCAAAGATACCGTAGATATTTGCTTGGAAAGTTTGGTGAAACCAATTCAACATCAGTAGGATCTTCAAGCATTACATCTCCTGCAGCTGTGGCATCTCCTTCCTCGCAGTCTATCTCTACGCCTTCTCCCGTTCACAATGGTGGTGCAATGATTAGCTCTGTTGGCTCTGCAGAGTTGACAAATACAATCATGCGCTTGTGTGAAGAGTTAGAAATTGTTTCCATGGTTGTTGAAAATGAAGTAACATTATATCATCAACTGAAACAACATGAAACCTATCGAGAAAATTATGAACTTATGCATGAGGCTCAAAGAGGAAATATTGACTTTGTTGTGAAGTTTTTGGACGATGAACTGGCTCGGCTTGATTCAAGTGAATAAATATTTATTGAGAACAGTGTATTTATTCAAAGTCGAACACATTATTAAGGTCATCCGAGGAAAGTAAATTTGCGGATACCATGTCCTCGAAGAGCAAGAAATTGGTTTCTTGCCGATCCAAATTCTCTTCTTGTTGTTGCGTTCCATTTAAGATTGGCCTTTGCAAATCCCCAACTGTGCTCTCGTTTGGATCAGACAAGATGACATCTCGTTGTAATGTCGACAATGCAACTTTCGCCTTAATCATTGCTGCACACTCTTCCACTTCTCTAATCACATGATTAAATTTTGAAAGAATTTTGTATCTTTTGCGCAAAATGTCAATAGCTCTCAAATCCTTTTGTAAAATTTCGAAATAATTCGTATTATTGTACACAAAATCAGTAGAATCTTGTTGCAAGAGCATCTTGACAATTTGAACGTGAATTTGGCCAGCAACTAATATGCAAGCCACAATCTCCACTGGAAATAGGGGAAATGCCTCATGGTCTGTTAGTTGTGTGATTTCCAAAGCACACTTCTCAATTATTCCCTTCACTAATGGTGACGATGATTTGGCAAGAATCGAAATTTTGACGCTGTGTGAAAATAATGTAAACACTGGCTCAATCATGCAACTATATTCTTTGCTATAACCATAACATGCCATTGCTTGTTTCGTTGATGGACGTTGTACACTATTGATCACCACTTGTTTTAAGTCGTCGATAATCACTTGTATGACATTCCATATTTCAAAACAGTTCTCTGATGTAATTTCTTGTTGGAGTAATTTCAGCCAATTAACTGGGCATTGTTTGCCAGTGAAAAATGAGAAAATTTCAGGGATTCGTTGTATCACTAAAAGTTAATAAATTTAAAAATTGATACATTACAACTTGTCTAGAAAGGTTTCAACTTTACACTTACCTTGTTGAATACCCATCTTTTCAAAATGATCTCCAATAATGTTTGTAAAATAGAATACTATTGATTGTAAATTTTTTTTCATAAACATTCATATTTTCTCTCTTTGTTTCATCTGAAAATAAGCTGTTGAGGCAGTAACTAAGAATTTGAATATAGAATTTGGCATTTTCAATTCGTCCACTCCAGGCTTCATAAATTGCTAAATTCCCATAAACTACAGCAACATTATAATTATTGAACTGGTCAAACATTTTGGAGAGAACGTTTTTAGCTTTCTGAGCACTTTTTTCAGCCAACTCGGAAAGTCCATATCGACATTCACACAATGCCCGAACTGACAAAAAAGATGGCAAACCATTCTTCATGATATCGACTCGGAGTATTTTCTGTATTGGTGTTTTGTTCAAAATTGATTTCTTTGCCACTTGAGCTGATTTTAGATGATGAATTAGCAGTGAAGGATTCATTACTCGATAATGGTGACGTGTAAAGAAACTTTTCAAATTCTTCTCTTGGAAAACATGGACATCCGTCACACGCAAACTCATAATAAAACTCAAGGACATCTCTCTTATTTAAATGTCCAGTTTCTTCGTCGAATTCTGTGAATGCAGAAACAACGTGATGACTTTCATGATCCTCTCGTCGTTTTTCGATATAATCTCCAGATACTTTTTCATAGGGTTTGTATTTCACGTTCTTGTCCTTATTAGCATGATTCGTCGAGGAAGAAGAAGATTCTTTTGTTTGTTGCTATTTCGAGAGTGTTGTTTTTCTTCTCCTGTTGATGATGATTTGACTCGTTTAGATTCTCGATAGACACACTCTACTCCCCGTTGTCTACATTCCACACAGCTCGGAAGATGTTTTGAACATTTTCGGTGTTGCTTCCTACAGTTGATGCAGGATATAGCGAAATATTGAGGAATTTCCAAAAAGGAAGAAGCAGGTTGAATGAAAGAGGTATCAAGATGGTTAAGATGGTTGTTGGTTAATGTTGTTGTTGTTGTTGTTGGTAGGGTCAATGTTGTTGGGAAAGTAGTTGCTCCTGTGGTTAATGTTGTTGGTGGTAGTGTTGGCGATGAAAGGACATGAATGTTGTTCGCTTCATGACCACCACTGCCATCACCACTTTCTCGTCGGAAGGATGAGACAACCAAGAGGGAGGAAGGAAATTGTAGAGGATGCTGGCTTGTTGGGTTGGCATCGCCATTCATGAAGTAATAATCATTGTTGTTGTTGTTGTTGGACCCAAACGGTAAGGATGAACAATGTTGTGCATTGGCATGGGTTTCATGTTGAAGGAATGGTGATGACGATGAATGGGTAGCTTGATTTTCCGAATCATTCGTTAGGGAAATTTGCTCTTGGATGGAATTCGGAGAGCCCATCGACGATGAAGATGACCACCACCACCTTATACTATTCGATGCATCTGCAAATTCTCTACCAAAGGATGAAGAGAACGGGTTGAAATTCACTGTTGTTGAACGATGATGATTGCCATCACCAGGTTGCATTTTTATTTGCCGCTCTTGGAAAGGTATTAGAAATCAAGAGAGTATTATACCATCCAAATATTTGATTACATGAACTGATTCAATTCACCTTCTTCGAAATCTCCATAGGTGGATGGTGAAAATATTTGTTGTAAATCTTCGTGAGTGAAAAGGGATCGACAAAATACAATTCTTGTTGAGAGGGTGATTTAGTGGAGAAAAGAGGGGACTGTGAGGAGGAGCTTGCATTGTCTGTGACGTGGCCACCACCCAATAGCTGTGAAAATTGAACTCTGTTTTCTGCTGTTGGAGGTTTTAAAACATTGAGATTATTAGCTGCTGTTTCATTGACGTATCCAATTAGGAATGAAAGAGGTGGCAATCCAGCATCAAAAGTGCTCGGTTGCATCATTTCACCAATTGGTGCTCGAGGTTTTGATGAAGATTGGGTAGAAGATAGAACGTTCAACACGGCATTATCTTCGGCGTTGTTTTCGGCAGTGGCGTTACCACTGGGTAGTATTGAACGCTTCTTTAACATTTGGCCAATTTCATCCATCAATGATCCATAACAGAGTGAGACGCGTTTGAATCTTTTGCTTAATACATTTAGGGCTCGATAATCTTTGGTGAGAATTTCAAAGTAGTCAACAGGTCCATAACTATGTCCATCCGATAATAAACCCTTTTGATTATTTTGTCTGGTCCCATTCTCGATCTTTTTACAAATCTGTAAGTGAATTCTTGATGCCAAAGCGACATGAGGTATCACAATAACAGGCAAGAATGGGAAAAATTCGCTTTCAGATGAGTACGAAATTCGAAGAGAGCTCTCTTCTATCAGTTGTTTTCCGTATCCTGCCTTCGTCAAAACACCAACTCTGAGTCCGTTAAGAAGTACTGACTGACACAAGTTCGAACCACGGTCATAGATCTCCATCTCTCTTTCAGTTCTGTTCTTGGCAGCCAATGAACGGAAATATTTGTTGAGATAAGATGCAACCATTTCGATAATTTTCAAATAGTCCAGACAATTAGAGGGGCTAACCTCTTGTTGCGTCGCTTTTACAATTTCTTGAGGCAGAGGATGACCAGTGGTATACTCGAATACTTTTGGAAAATTGTGAATGAAGGTATTAATACCCAGTTCACTGTCAGCGTTAACAATATCAATAGACGATAGGTATTTTTGTAGAGCCTTTTCATACTCGTTGAGCTTCTGCTTTTCAGTTTCGTCCATCTCCTCAAAGTAAAATTTTGCGTTTCTCAAATAAAATTTGGAAAGCTTTACCCTTCCACTTCCAATTTCATAAGCACCTAGTGAAGCATAAGCACACGCAACAACATAATTCGACACTTCGTCAAACAATTTAGATAACATGTCACGTGCTTTTCTAGCGGTTTTTTCGGCTTGGTCTCCCATACCTAAACGTTGTTCCACGAGAGCTTGAATTACAAAATAAAAACATTGCATCTCCTTCTTGTATGGAAGATCTGATTCAACTTCGTCATCAGAGCTCTTGTGTAAGATGTGTTTTTCCAGAAGGGCTCTATCTATGATAATAAAGTGATCACAAATCATTCGAAAATAAATGTCAATGACATGTTTCTTGGTAAGAGTTTGTGGGATTTTTGATGTCCACGTCGTATCGGCCGGCGTACTAAGAGAATCCTCCGATGATTGAGCTTGAGGTTGTGACACTGTATTGTTTTCTTCAAGACTTTTCTTCTTTTTCTTTTTAGGTTGATCGTTTTCTTCCTTCTGTTGCTTGAGTTGCGGATTTGGATATCTCATTCTTCTTGGCGTTTTGTACTCGCAAACAATTCCCTTAGATTCGCATCTATTGCAACTTGGGAGTTTCTGAACACCAAAATAATTGAAACATGGTTCCAAGTCATCGAGCCAAATAATTGAAATAGTAATGATGAGTATTATTAAAGTTAGTATTTCCGAAAATGTCATTGTCAAAAACGAAGACATGGATAAAAAATAATATACATTAATAGGAGTGAGAAAATATAACATGCATATTCACTAACCTTATCGCATTGCTTTTGTAAAAAAATAAATGTTAACAGGTGTTAGAAAGAAATTCTAACATGCACATGAACAAACTTACCTTATGCATTTTCCTACAATTAATGCAGGCAATAGGATGAAATTCAGAGGAGAGGGATTGTTGGATTGTTGATGGTTGCATTTCATTATTTTGAGGAGAATGCAGTGGAGTGGTTTGGAATGAGGTCATCATTGAATTTTGAGAATATTGTTTTTGTGATGGCGGAGTTCCGATCTGATTATGGTGTGTGAAGTTTCCATTATTATTATTTGCAGGTGAAGGATAAATATTACTAGCAGTCATATTATTTTGTTGGGAATAGACATTGTTGTTGTATTGGGGGCTCTGTGACGAGTAATTTCCAGTACCATAGTTCACCATTTGTGGAGAGGTGTTTTGGGAAATGTAACCTTGTGGTGAATGTTGTGGCACTGAAAATTGTGAATAGTTGGTTGGAGGAACAGAAGCACCGTCCGTACTATTATTGTAGTAATTATTTCCTTGATGAAACGTGTTTGGATATGGTTTTTGTTGAAAGGAAGGATGCGATTGATGTTGTACGGGAAAATTATTTGCATTTAATAAATTAGATGCTGAAGGGGAAAGTGATGATGGTGGTGATGGTTGTGTCGGATGATGATAGTTGAGCTGCTGCTGTTGCTGTGGAGGTTGTGGAGGTGGATGAGAAGTACTCATCCGTTGTCCATAGGTTTGTTGTGGTGGATGATGCTGTTGTTGGTGCTGTTGTGGAGAAAACCCATTCATGTTAGAGGCTGTATGACCCTGCGAGGCCAACCCCGATCCATTAATGCCAACAGTCGGAAAGTGTCCATTCATCTCTCAGCTATGGTAGTGATAGGAATGAGGATGATGAGTAATTACTACTACTACTATTATTATTCGGTGGTGATTACTACTCTTCGGATTTTGCTCTTCTCTATGGTAACAACAAAAGTGTGATAAGAACGTTCCAACTATTTGATTGCTGCTGAAGAACAACAACAACAACGATATATAAAATCCAACTCTGAGTCGCGACAAAATTTGCTGTTGTTCCGTACGAAATTCAATCTTCTTTCACAATAGATACCGACAAGGCGAGAGAGAGAGGTGCGAGAGGTGCTGGCGCAACACGAGGAGATACTTTGGTGCGAAGGAGGAGGTCACAGGAGGGTTCACGCGAAAACACACCAAAAGAACACGCACTTATTTTTTGTTTGGTGGATGCAAGAAGTGCGAGATCCGCACCTCCTCCTCTTCCTCCTTTAATTATTAAACAAGGTTTGCGGAGAAGAAGGGTGAAAGGATAAATAGTGTTGGGAAGAGATACTTCCAATCCAGCTGGTACGCAATGAATGTATTTATATAATGAGACCACTTTTTCATTTTGAGATTTACTTTAAGGAGTTGGGAATTCTCAAGTCAAGAAGACAAGTTAAAAAGACCCTTTCAAAGATGCGTCTTCTTGTTTTCCAATATTGTAACTGCCTCCACTGCCACCATCATGGCCTCTAAAGCCGCCATCAACCTTGCAGGTTTTACAAAAACTGGAATAGCTGCAAAATCATTGGCCTCTGCTTGGATGTCCTCTTCAGCCATTGCAAATGGAGGAGGAATTGCAGCAGGTTCCACTTTTTCTCTCTTGCAATCTGCTGGAATGACTGGATCACTGATGACTGGTCCTGTGGGAGCTGTCGTTGGTGTTGCTGCTCTCATTGTAGGGTTGATATTCACTTCCTCATTAGTTCCTAAATAGAGATAATCCATGGCCAGTGAATGAGGGATTGGATTCTCAAACAAACAAACAAACAAACACTTGTAAATAAACAGGGAGTACCTAAAGGTTGTAGAACTTGATCTCTTTACTTAAAGGGTTTACAAAAAAATTGCCCATTCTCTCCCTTCGAAGAATCATGGACATTTGCAAACCTCTGAATTTACGATCCATCTCGGGTGATGAAAGACTCCTCGTGTTTTTCAGTAATGAAACCTCGGAGACTGTCAAGTTGTATTGGATTAATTATGAAGGTACAGAGATTGAAGTTGCAACTCTCTTTCCGAAGGATGCAGTCGGACAACAGAGCTATTGGACTCATTGTTTCATCATGAGAAGTATGAACACACCTGACAAAATTGTTGGACTCTATGTATTGGATTCCTCCTTAGAGAATGGCTGCATTTTGAAATCGGGTCAGGTCCATAACCAATCGTCGTTGAAACCGAATTCCACTTCACCAATGGTAAAGAATTTTCAAAAGGTTTGCTATGAATGTTCAAAAAAACGGTGAATTGCCTAGTTATACTCCTGAATTGAAATCCGAGGCGAGTTACAAACAAGCAACCATTTCAGTACGAAATGCCACTCAAAAAACCTTAGATGTATTTTGGATTGATTTTGAAGGAAAATTATTGCCATATGGTCAAGTGCAACCGAATGAAACCTTTGCATCATTGAGTGCTGTTAACCATGTCTTTGTGTTCAAAACTCAGGACGGATCCTATGAAAAGGTTGTGAAAGTATCACTTAACAAACCTTTAGTAATTTTGGAAGAACAAACAATTTCGATCTGTGCGCAAACCTTAGATGAACCAACCGAGACCAGCTGTCACCCCATCATTGCTGCACAAATATCAGAGAGAACCGGAGCAAGAAATATGGCCTTCTCATATCCTGCAAGCGATTCTCTCGTTCGAGATATTGAGTCTCATCTTCGCAAAGAAGGAAAACGATTTATCGATGAAGATTTCCCTCCCCAACCTGATTGGGTGCGTGCCTATGACTTCTTTAATGGAGATGTCGCTATTGTAAAGAAAGGATTTTGTGCTACTTCGCCACGACAAGGAGGAGTTGGAGATTGTTGGCTCATTCAATCCTTGTCTGGAGCTGCTATTCGACCTCAAGAGGTCAAGAAGGCTTTTTGCTTGTGTGAATCTATTGACCCTCAGTTAGGTCTGTATGCAGTCACGTTTCACTCTGAAGATCCAGGAAAGAAGTACACCATTCTTTTGGACGATTATTTTCCCATGAATAGTGATTTTATCTTTGCAAAATCTGCTGCAAGAGGAGAGTTATGGGTACCGCTCATTGAGAAGGCCTTTGCTAAAATGATTGGAGGATTTTTGGATTTGGCTGCATCGAAACATTCATTCAATCCCTGTCACGTGTTGGTTGCGCTGTTGGGAGGCAAAGCAAAACATTTTGAGTGGTATTCTGGAGAGAACTCTGTTGGAAAAAAGCTAATGAAGGAGAATCAATTTTGGCCTCTCCTCGAACGGCTACTTGACAGCGAAAAGAGTGCACCTGTGTGTACCAGTAAAGCAATAAGCGGAGGAGACGGTACTGTCGATTCGTTTGGCATTGTTCATTACCATGGCTACAGTATTTTAGGATATAGAAAATTCCCTCAATACAATCTCAATTTGATTCAGATCAGGAATACATGGGCCAATACAGAATGGGGAGGCAGCTTTGGTGACAATTCTAAAGAATGGCAGAAATATCCGCAGCTAGCAAAGAATTGAATCATGAAGTGAAAGATAATGGTTGTTTCTGGATGACTTATGAAGATTTTATCAAGCATTATTGTGTTCTTTGGTGGAATGAGCATGAATAGATTTATGGAAAGCAAAAAAATTGATGTTTAAAAATCAAAATATAAAGTATAATTCTAACCACTTGATTCTTACTCCTTTCTTAATGAAATTTTGACAGTGTCTTCATAAAATTTGATCGCCAGTTCATCAATCACAAATTCAAATTTGTTATTAAAACGAGAAATAATTTGTTTTAAATCCTCCACATGAGATTCATCGGTGTAAATTAATGATACATGTGCTTCATTTTCATTATAAACAATTTTTCCTCCAGTGAGGTCAGCACACATTCTTCGAGCTTGAACAAATGACATTTGATCTTGCCTCAATGTTTCAATTTTCAAAGCAGCAAACAAACAATACACCTTTTTGTTTTTAATTCTCTCCACAGGAGATACTAAAAAATCCTCAATAATTGCTTTGAATGGATACAATTTCTTTTCTTCGACAACTCCGTGATGAACAAATTCCTGTAACGCTTGAATGGCTTCCTCTTTCTTTTTATTCGGAATTTTTCCAACAAAGGTAGAATGAAAATTCTGTTGTGGTCTTGCCTGCTGTGTGCCATTGTTGTTGAGAAATTCCTTTCCGTGATTATCCAATTTCCAATCATCATTAAAGGCATCAAATATTTCTTGAAATTTAGAAAAGGCCTCTGATGCCATCACCAAAACGAATAACCATAACCTGGTTGTACTGACATTTTTTATTATATGTTTGTTGACGTCTTTCCAGAAATGCATCATCACTCACTCAACTATGAAAACGCACCATCACGGATGAAGCGATTGTTGTTTATTGTTACAAAATAATGACGACCATGGTGACATACATATCTTATTGTCTATTGGATGGTTTGATTTTTGTTGAAAGGTCCCATAATTCATCATCGGTTTTGTTTTCAACAATCGTGGCAATTCTTCTGTGAAAACAAATTGCAAATAAGGTAATTCTTGGAAATCATAATTGAGACATAATTGTTGCAATTCAGAAACTCTTCCCAATGTTTTCATTAGAATTCTCATCATTCTATAATTAATGACCTCTTTGTGTTTGGCATGTTCGAGAAGAGGTTTGTTTCCTTCCTTTGTGAAAAATACTTGACTTTGGAAACTTCCTAAATAGGGAATGCAAGGTTGTTGTTTTTCAGAGAGACGGTCATAAAGCTGATTCACTTCTTTCGAGTTGATGACTTTTTCTGACTTTCTTCCAATTCGAGGAATAGTTTGTGTACTTCCTTATTGTCTTCATAGAGATCTTTAAGTCTAAAAACAGAAGAACTTCTTAAGCCTCCCAAAATAGACATGAATCCAAAATAATTACCAGCGTAAAAACAAGATTGAGCAATGCAAAGAATTTTGGTAAAGACCTTCTTTCGATCTCTCTCATTGGGTTGAATGAGAACGGTCTCGCTGGCCCAATGCTGCAAAGTTTTGAAATGTTCTTGCATGAACAAAATATTACTGCTGTACTTTTCTCGAATTTCCTTATCTTTGCTTTCAATATAATAAAATTCATAGGGCTTAATTTTCAAAAAGAATTTTGCTTCCAGTAAGGTCAATTGATGAGCTAATTCTGCAGAAGGCCATGAGAAAATGTCAAATTGGATCTTGAAAGGATTGGAAATTCCCAATCGAATATATAAATCCTTGTCATGATTCCATTTTGACATGGGAATTTCTGGTGTTGATACTTGTTGCAAAGTTAATCCTTTTGGAATTCTCAGAGTTTTATCCTCTGAAGATGCTGAAGAGTCACGGCCTGGGCTAGTAATACCACATCGAGTTCCAGAAGAGGCCTGAATGGAAAGCATATTGAGTACAAGAGCATTTTGGATCTTGGCAATACTTGATGTGCTACTGGAGGACATGTGTTCAATTTCTTTCATAAAGTTAATACTTTTGGCAATACTTAAATTATTGAATGCATAGAATCCATCCTTGATTAATCGCGCAGCAGTCCTTTCGAGGTTAATTTTTGTGAATAAGTCATTCTTGTCTTGCTTATCTTGATTCAAATGTCTGTATTTGGCAATCAAAATGTCAATAATTTTTTCTGGAGTGCTGAATAAATTATAGGTCAAGTAGAACATTTGGGAAAATTGTTCAGTATGTTCCTTGTCATTGGCAGGATTGTAACCAAGAATTTTGTTAATAGATGCTTGCAAAGTGGCTGCTTTGAGACAACAGGTTTCGGGGTCCACAATATATTCATCTTCTTCTGCTTCGTGAGATACAATGGTCTGTGAATCATCACCATTTGTGTATTCAGTTAATAGTATTTCTGTACAGTTTAGACAGTGCGCTCTAAAAACATCAGGATCATGATCCAAATCATTGGCATCTGGGCAGAAAATGAGTAGACTGTGTGACTTCTCCATGAAAATCAATAGAGCTATGAGTATTCTAAATTTGCTTTCCTTCTTCAAAATTTCATAGATAAATCTCGAGCATTCTCAATCTCATGCACACTGATCAATTTTTTGCAGTGAGTCACCAAGTCAGTGACTAATGATTTCACAACCAAAAAGCAAGTGTTACCATCGTGTCTTAACAATGAGTGGATTGTAATGTGGCGAATGAGCTGAATAAGTTTGTAGAGCAATGCATCCACATAATCCCCATCGGCCGCTGTGTCAGACAATCCATGAAATAGAGAGATTAAAAGGTTCATCATGGATCCATCTTTTCCAATAAAAAGAGCATTCAAAATATAGACGACAACTTGATAGGACTTGCTGACAAAATCAATCTTCTTTGATTGTTGCTCGTGTTCTTTCGAAACCCCTCTGAACGCTAATACAATATTCTTCATAAACTTGAGCATGTAAAAAACAATGCTCAAATCGTTCAATTCATTAGAGCAGTGCAACGTTTTATCTCTCCACCATCGAATGAGCGCATCTCTGTTGTAATTTCTCATTGTCCATAACAGAAGAGTACTCAAAATAACGTTAATCTCATTGAACTGTTTGAGTTTAAGTAACAATTCTTCTCCCTTATTGAAGAAGGTGTCTACAAGACTTGTGAAAATTATGGAAGTGATACGTTCTCGATTTTCTCTTGGTTGATATCTTTCATCAAACTCTAATTTCAAAAGATGTCCAACAAATACTTTCCAATCTTGTACATGATCTTTTCGTTCTTCATCTCAATAGATTCAAAGAACAAGGCAATAATCTTGTTAATGAAGATATTCGTAGTTGAAAGCTCCCACATTTCATGATAATCTGCCAAAATTGCAAGAGATTCACTGAGTAATCTCATACTTGTTTCCTTTTGATAAGCCAGTTGTGACTTTTCTGCAATAAAATTCAAAAATGCCTTTCACAGCCTCATATCCAATCGTTGGCAAGAGATCTCTAATAAAGAGTGAGATATTTCTATTACAATAAATAGCAAGATTGTGACTGCTGTTGTTGTTAGAAAGTAGTAGCTTTTCCATGCACGTAAATAGCTCCTGGATGAGATTTTTCGTTAGAACTAGCAAGTCACTCTCTAAATAATTTGAAATGCCCTTTGATTGCGCAATCAAGAGAGATTTGATCACCATGTCAAACACAAACCAAGAGTATCTGCAAGAGTCGGATGTTTTTCCTCGGTAGCTTCTCTATTGGACGTCAAATATTGTATAAATACTTTCATCAATTCACAATGTAAAGATTCAAAATTGAAAATAAATTTGATATAACTCGAGAAGAATCGGTTGCCTCTTGTACTGTTACCGCAAAACTCATGGAATTTGTTCAAGCTCAACAATAGTGCCTCGAATAACTTGGTTTGAAGATCTACTCGAAGTTTTTTCATGTTAATTTCTTTTGTGAACTGTTCAGAGGATGAATAATTCAACAATTCCAGTAAAATGTCAAATAGCAAGTACATGAAAGGCATGCTGATGCTAAAGTCAATCATATTAAATTTCAAGAGCAAATGATAAACAATATACTCTAAAATGGAAGACTTTTGCAAAGAGGTACTTTTGGTAAATGCGTCGTAAGCAGCGAAGAAGAGTTGCAATCTTTCATCAGTTGGTTGTAAGGTGGTCACCAAGTTAGCATCGATTCTGAGCTTGGCTTTTCGCTAAGTTTAAGAGAATCCAAATCCTTTTCACTGATTGATATGTATCCAGGGGTAGCTTTGTATAAATTGGTATCGTTTCATTTGAAACAGATTGTCGAAGTGGCATGTACCCAGACAAAATATCTCCAAAGAGTTCCTTATCTCCCTCATAGACACTATTGTTCGCATAGAGAGGTAAAAGCTATATCCAACAATATTTCTGTGAACACCTTGACCAAAGTGGCCACTTCTTAAATCCATTTCTAAAATTTTCTGGCCTTTTTTCTTCAAGTCTACTATGTCAATGTTGTAAAATGTGAAAAGTAAATGATGCCCATTGTGAATATTCTCTGAGTCAAACCAAGTAGATCAATCTTAATTTCGTCAATGAAATGCACATTCTTTTGGTGTTGCAAGAAAGACTTGAAAATTGATATCGTTGTAACTTGTTGCTAAACTTTCCAATAAATCGCTTCAACATTTTTGTACTGCTATTTGAGTTCAGGATATAGTCTTCAGGACTTGGAGTGGTCTGATCACAATCTCTCACTGACACCTCAATAAGGACGTTTTTACAATGTTTCAATCCGGATAGTCTTGCAAGTTTTAAATTCAAAAATAGCATGTTCTTAAAAGCAAGATGTGGATATCTAGATTTCATCCATGGAATCTCTTCCACCACATCTTCAATATCTTCATCGACAATGGTATTTCTAACGAATCTTCTTCGCGTGTGAGGTGATTCTGTGCGTAATGGGTCTGCCTCTTCATCCAAATAAATTGAATTCTCATATTCATCGACAAAACTTGGCCTGGTCACGCTCGTTCTTGAGAATGATTGCGATTTCCAGTCACGTATGATTTTACATTCCACGGTCATTTTCCCCTAATATGATATGCTTGCATACTGGAATGAGTCGCTGTCTGAGGGTCTAAATGCTTTAACAATGTAATGATATTGAAATTTTCAATATTACTGTCTACAATAATTGGGTAAAACTTTTCAATTGTCGTGGAAGAGAATGCCAAGTCCACTTTTGGATCATCACCAAAATCAAGAACACTAGACGAGCTAGAAATATTGGCGTGACCATGGGGTCTCTTGGTACTGAACACTTTGCAATAGCCCAAGAGGAAGGACTGCTCAAAGTGATACAACGCCTTGCGTGATTCTTCTAATTCTGTTTGTGAAGATGACTTCTTTTGTGAAATACTTCCCATCTCTTCTGCAGCTTCTTGAACAGTTGTGGAGCCAATCTACGAATGATCACCACACAATATATTTGATCATGAGGATAGCTAACGTTAAATACTTTTTCTTTGGTGGCACTTGGCATCATTCTTAATATGTCTTGAGCACTTGTTGGCAATGCTTGTAATTGCAGCTCAGATAAAAAGTTAAAGCACCAATCTTCAGTGATCTTCTTTTCGCTTTTACAATCGTAAAGAGCAACAGAAAAAGTAAAAAGCTCTTTCTTGTATGACTCGCCTACAAGCGAGAAATCAGAAAAACTTAGGTTAATGCTAATTTTGTTTTTGTAGGATACTCGAGAGCATGTAGAGTCCTATGACAAAGAACCAAGTCCATAGGTTTGTATTCATAGAATGATTTGAGAAGCATGAGTAAACGCTCTTCCAAAATTTCATTCTTAATAGACATGTCGGCAACAGTTGGAGCACTGTTCAATATTGCATTACCAAACTTTGCCGAAAGTCTTTTGCTTCCATTCACTGAATATGTTAACTCATTGATAAATGTGACTAACTGCTCATTCAAATGCTCTTTTGTGATATCTTCGAGTTTTCTCTCTTCTGTATTGATATCAATCTCATCATAAAGATCTGTTGCTTTTATGTCGTTTGCTGTCGTCATACTTAAATTGATACTACTCGTGTCTGAAAGACCAGAATTATCATTATTATTAGCTGTAAGATCATTTTGGCTATTTCTCCAAAGCCCTGTAATTCGCATAGAGAGAGTTTTTAACCTTCTCTCTTGCTTGTCAACTTTTGGTACATCCAACTTTAGACTTTGTTTCAAATTTTCTGAGCTTTTGTTCAGGTCAGACGAGGCGGTAAGATCGCTCTCAGATTTCTTTTTTCATGCCCATAAAACCCTTGAGTGTTTTTCCAAGAGAACCATTTCTAGATCGAGACGATGACATTTCCATGAAACTTTGTGGAATAGGGCTAGAATCTGAGTTAATGGCCTCCATAGATCTTTCATCCTCCAATTCACGAATGGCAGAAACATGTTTTAAAATATCAGAGTTATGTGAAGATTTTTGAGGAGTATTCATTCCAGCAATAGCAGAAAGACCATGGTTTGGAGGTGACGTTTGTTTCGAGTCTGAGGGGTGGGTATTGTAACTAAATGAAGAAAAATTGACATTGTTCTCCATATTTAAATCCAAAGATCCAGACAAATTCAACGTGTTACCCACTCGGCTCTGACTTCCAGATACAGCAAGGAAAGGAGGTGTTGCCTTTCGATACATTAAATTTTCATTTACATCCCAAACGTTACAAAAGTATGTGTTGTTGTTGCTTGAAATATTTGTGGTTACATTTCCAATCGTGCCATTTGATGATTTAAAATCGCTTGAATGATTATTAGTGAATGGCGAAGTGATTTGAGAAGGAGAAGCAACACTTGTTGTGTCACCGCTACGGAATGGATGTAAATTTTGAGAACTCGTCACCCTCACAGAATTAGTAGAAGTTGCATCCGTATCAGAATCATTTCCTACAAGTCCACTCAATGATTGATTAGATGATGTATTTTTCATTACTAATTGTTCAAGAGCTGATGTTGACGATTGCATGGTGTGACCATACAAAGAGATACCTGTCACTATTGAAGAATTGTTATCGGTTGGAGATGTGAGAGAACATAAATCCTCTTCACTGCTTCTACTTCCAAAACTTGTCAACTGAAGACCGTTCACTGCATGGTCAAGATCTGAGCTCCCATTATTGACCATAGACTGGCTGATTGTTGAGCTAAGTACCGATTGGGTTTGCATCAAGGAGTTTAGAGGAAATGAAGAATTTGATGTAAATGATGGTGGTGGTACTCCCCGATGGTGATGATAACGAGGAAGTTCAGAGACAACATTTTCAGTGGTTGAAGCTTTCGAGACAACACTTGCTGTCATGCCATGTTGATGTTGTGAAGCTGCTACTGAACTCGTAGATACGAGAGGAGTACCATAGGGTGTGGTTGGCACATGATTGGACTGTTGCGATTGATGTTGATTTGGAAGAACATATATCTTTTCAAAATGAGGCAAGAGACCCTGAGGAACAGCATTCAAAAGTCGAGACTGAAAAGAGTCATCGTCATAGGGCGCATTTTCACAATTATAAAGAGACGATCCAGAATTTGCACTGCTGCTACTGGCAGCATTATAATTTTCAACCTGTTGATTGAGAATGGTGATGGTTGATGTGGTAGTCGTTGTAATGTTATGGTTGTTATGGTTGTTATGGTTGATGACTTGGACAGGAACGGAATTATTTGAATGAAAATGGTGATGAAAGAGTGCGGTCGCTGTTGTTGATGATGACTCTGAGCCATTCGTTAGAGTAGTAGTGGTCGACGTAGCGTTAGTACTATGGTACGCCACCACTGTTGGTGAGTAGGCAGTCGAATGGGCATGTTTTGTATTCGTGTTGATGGTGAGTGGTGTCAATGACCCTCCTGTGGGTGATGTGGGTTGATTCTGCCACAATTGATGATATAAATTAATGTTAGCTCCTCCTCTCAAATTCGTGTTTGAGGATGAGGTTGAAAGTGAGGCATATCGTGCTGCTGCTGATGTTGTGAGTAGTTGTGAATAAAAAGAAGGATACGCGATGGATGGTTTCGGTCGGGCGTCAATAATGTAGAAAGAAGAAGGAGTGATACTGGTCTGGAGAGGTTCTTGCTGAGGTGGTGATAAATTCGAGGAGGAAGAGGACAACAAAGAGGAGGCATAGCCATGACCTCCTCCACGCGTATTCTGTTGCTGATGTTGTTGTGGAGCATAGGGATCCGAAGTGATGGTGGCGGTAGGAGAAGTAACTTTTGGCAGATGATTGCTTGCTGACATTTGTTTTATAAAAGAGATGATGGGAGATGTTTTGGTTCAGCAACGAAAATCATCATTGGGACCATGAAAATGCTTTCTTCAAAACTTGCTGTTTAAATACACGTCAGTTGTCACTTGAAGAGGAAATGCTATCAAAAGATGAACATGGAACACCAACCTTTGCTTTCGAGTTATTAATTCACCTTTTTGCTGCAACCACACATTTCTAAAACAACAAAAACAACTCGACAACCAATCTCATATTGCAATTAAACCACAACAAAACAGCTCATCAAAATGTCATTTCGACCCATGAACTCCAACAATCCTAATCTCACAAACATCATCCGTGATGAAACCTCTCTTCCCAAAATCAACATCATGACCTACAATGTAAATTTTGGAGGTGTTTCATGGAACGGAGAGACAAATCTCGGAGGATACCGAGCCCTTCAAATCATTCATGAACACTCTCACGAATTGGACATTGTCTGTTTGCAAGAAACTCATCAAGGCTGGGAATTTGCATTGAATCATTTCAAACCCTCGGAAAACATGTATCATGAAGGACTTCATTCAAAGAACAAAGCCTCCTCTCTCCGAGCCAACTTTCCCCATCAATTCTGGGACCACTCCAAAACCGATCAGTATTTAGCAAGTGGAAGTGCAGTGTTAGCGACCAAAGATTTTGATCTTCAGGTTCAAATGCTGGAGAGTGGAGTCAAAGGCTCTTTTTTTGATGCCATGCATATTGTTGTAACGGATTTACGTTCATCGACGACCAAGACAAAGACCAGATATGAATCATCTCTCTATTATTATTGATGAAGAAAAATCAGAAGAAGAAAAAGAAGGAATAAGAACAACCAATTCTGACGCATATGAAGACATACCAATGACAAACTCCACCTCTACGACCAGATCCTCAAAACCAACACTCCAACTTTTGAATTTACATTTAAGGCCTCCCTTATCCTTTGAAAGCAGTACACTTCTCGATAATGCAGCTGCCTACCTGTGGAAAACAACCACTGTGAGAAGAGATGAAGTGAAAAGTTATGTCGAACAAGCTCTCAAAATCCATCCCTTATTCCATTAATTTTGTTGGGAGATTTCAATGAAAAGAGTAGTGTTGGAGTGTTTACTTCAAATTCGACCTTTTCTAACTATTTGAGAGAGAATGACTATGTCGATGCCTTACAAGATGCTACCACGTGGTATTGGCCTCTGAAGGGTCCATTCAGCTTATGCAAGAGTGGAAAGTGGAAGCTCAACAGGTGTTAGACAGTATAAGGAGCGCTTCCGATCATCTTGTATTGTTTCATTAAGGAGAGCCCATGTCAGTAGTCAATAATATTGGGGATGGGACCAAACCGTTGTGAACGGTATCAGATCAACCCACACGTTCGGACAAGTGTGTGGTGTCGTTTGATATCATCATCATCACTTTATAAATGTCGAACAGTTGTTGAGAATTGTTGAACACAAGTCTGGAGTGCTGTTGCATTTTGTTTGAACACATATTCATAAAAATATCAATGCCAAAAAGAAAGCAAAGCAAGAGGATAGTAAAGAAGGGAAGCTAATTTCTCTCGTATGACAGAAAGTGATGTTGAAGCATTGTTGCAATATGTTGATGCAAAGAAGAAAGTCAGAATGAAAGTTACTCCTGCCATTAAAACGTTTGCAGATGAACATAATTTCAATCCAAATCAAGCTAGAAGCCGATTTTATGAAAGGATGAGGTTAATCAAATTATTGAAAGAACAATCAACATCATCATCAACAACATCATCAACAACAGCAACAACAACCCACAACTCAAAGGAAATGAATGTTTTACCCGATGTTGTGTCAAGATTGATCAAGGAAGAACAACAGAAGCAAGAACAAAAGAAAAGAAAACAACAGCAAGTTGATGATGAGAATGATGATGTTGAGAATGATGAGAACGAGGATGAATACGACTTTGACAAGTTGTTGGTATCAACTCCAGGCAAGGTTACCACTGTAAAACAAAGTTTATCTCACACAGGACACTATCTAAGAAACAGAATAGTTTCATTAACTTTCACTGTTGCGTCTCAGCCTAACATCAACAAGATGGTCAAGAAACTGAGTAACATAAAATGTCGGAAGTAGTGCATTCACTTTATTGAATGAGAGACATTATAATCCGATTGTTGTGTCTGAGTATATTGAGGAGAGTATTGATATCACCAGTATGAAAGTTGCAGTTGTTAGCGGTGCTGATGTTGGAGAGAGTGGTAAAGAAGTGTCTCAAAAATATATCATGTTGATATCCAAGAAAACATTGAGAAAGTGGCTATCAATGGTGTCGCAACAAATCATGAGAATATCGACACGCAACAAATCATTACTGCCCATTGGTTTGAACAGGTTTTGCAAGTGAGGACAAATTCCATTGATGTACAACTTCCTTAATGTCTCGATCTTGTCGTTTCAATCTCTCGAAAATGTCTGTCATGTCATTCAAACAATGCAGCTGAATATTCTTAAATAAATCCGATGGAATAATGGTACCATTGTCGGAACAACGATGAATCACTGCCATGCATTCATGGAACGCTTCATTCACTTTTGGATAATTCAATTGGAGAGGAGAATTTTGTTTGAGATAGGTGTTGGCAATGTGAGGTGCTAATTTTCGACGATTTTTCGAGTTCGTCGTTTTTGTAAATCGTTCAATATCTCTGTAACATAGAACTGGTTCTGGACAAAATGATTTTCTAGCAAATTCCAAAATAGTGTTGAACGTTTTTTTCTGTTTCAAACATTGTTCCAATCCAGATTCTTCAGATGGATTGAAAGAAGCATGCTCGGGAGAGTTTCCTCGTTTTTGTCTCGCATCCATTACGATTGAATACAGAACTGGAAGTAAAACACTCACAATAATTTCACAACATGAGTACACAAGCAACACATAGCCATACGGTATGAAAAAGTCCAACAGTTTTGAAAATATTGGAACAAATCCAAAACAACAAACAAAATGATGGCACACAATTTGAGTCCAATGAGTGTTGCTGTTTCTTTCCAAATAAACCAAGTGTCTCGTGCAAATATTAGACACAATACAAACAATATAGTCTCCACAAGAATGTAGAAGAATGTGACCACTCCAACCATGAGAGAGTTGAACTTGAAATTCCACATCCTGAAATACTCCTCTGGTTGTGAAAATCCCAGTGTTTGTCGAGTGGACCTGAGTAAATTCAATTCCTCCCAAAACAAGATAAATTATTGCATGAAAACGAAGAGAACAACGTAGGATCCAATCACAAACTTGTCACTCACAAAGAATGACAAAATTTTCACCTTCTTCAAGTCTTGATCTGAAGGAGTCACAATGGTCAAAACATCGTTTCGCATGTCATCATCAATGGTTCCCACTGAAGTGACATCTGAAACTTCAAAACTACCTTCCTTTTCTCTTGATTCGTCTGTTGTTGCTGCTGAGGTGTCACAAACTCGTGTTTCAAATTCTTTCTTGGATCCGACTGAAACTCAACTGACGAATGTGTGCAAAGTTGAAGATTTGCATTCACCGCTCCAGCATCAAAATTCATGGACCGATCGTAATCTTTCACAAAAACCAAATTCGTCTTGTTCAAATTCAACACATGCATCAAATACAATCGAAAACATCGAAAAATCGATGGTAAAATCAATGCAGGTGGTAACACAAAATACGAAATGGCATAAATAAAACATGGATAATTCTTTCTTCCAATAATGTATCTCAAACAAGACAAAATGACAATAAAAGAACTCGCGACAAGTGTCAGGACCATATAGACCATTCCTCTCGATTGGACATGTCTCGACTTTCGTTTCCAAATTAATCCCAAACAACACAATACCAATAACATCAAATAACACAACAAGAAGAACAGCGAGAAGGAAAATGAAAGCCAAGTTTCTGGACATCCCGATGCTGTTAAAACAGCTCCATCTCGACTAAAGTTTCCTAATTGAAATAATATTGGATTGCAACCTTGTAATTGAGAGGCATTGGAGATGTTGACTGGAGTTTCGAGAATTACAAAATCGGAAACGAGTGAATTGAATTTTTCGAAAAACAATTTGTTGTGGAGAGAATATTGTTGAATTTCATAGACATTGAAAATCGTAGAAAACTTGTCATCATTGGTTGTTGTTGTTGTTGTTGTTGGGGGCAACATTGATAAGCCACCTTCATCTGAGTGATGCATTTTTCTATGACGTTCTGAAATTTCACCAATGATGTCAGTTGCCACTGACAGGTCGTCATCAGCATTGATTTCGGGTATTATTCTCATGCTCAAAACAAGAAGGAGAATTAGTAAAAAGTGAGTGTTTCAAAACGAATGGAGATGAAATGCTTTTCGACAACGACCAATGACAGGTTGACAACCCATGACATTCCATAATGAACTCCCCGCCGAAATTTTGAATCTTGTCTTGATCAAAATTTGTAGTCTTGCCATTCGGATCTTTGTTCATAACACCCAGAGCATCATTTGATCCATTTCTTCTCTGTTGTTGTTGTTGTTGTTGTTTTTGTGTGATGTTAACGTGTTCATTACTCGCAACATTGTGTATGTGGAACAAGTGACAGCGCTTGATGTGAGGGCATTAGTGTGTTGGTGAGATGGAAGTGATGGAAGTGGATGCATTTTGTTGTTTGGAAACATGGATCAAGGCTTTTCAGACAAGGCCCGTGGTGTTTTAAATTGCCCAAAAGCACAGATATATTTGGAAATAGTTTCATCATTTCTATGCGGGAGCACAAACACTTTTGAAGAAGAAAACAGATTCACGATTCGCTAATTTTTGCAAAAGTGTGATTCTCAAATTCCAACATGTCAAGACCCTAAGGAAGTGAACAAGACGACAAATATTTCAGAATCACACAGACTGTTTACACTACAAGATCACCTTTCGATCTTTTATTATAAAACATACACATCAATGAAGAATAATCCTTCAAAATTAATCACTTGCTGTGATCAAGATTCGAGTCGCTTTAGAAAA